GATGGAGAGGGAAGACAAACTTCAGGATGGTCAGGACAGAATAGATGGGGTGAAAAACAGAAAACACAGTAGTTTTGTTGTTGTTGTTTTGTTTTATAAGAAATTGGCATCAAACACAAGGAACGAAAAAAAAACAAGAGCGATAGTTCTACATCATTGAGTTTTTTCCCTAAGAGAGAAAACCAAGAGAAATTTCAGTTCATTTTAAAGCAGAAAGATAAGAGAGAAAAATGGTATGGATACTGAAAGAGTTGGCCAGGACAAGAATGAGCAAAGGATGAAACAATTCACATTGAGAAATAGGTAGAACACCTTTCCTCAGAAGAGAAGCTAAGCGCTTACACCGAGGGAGAAAAATCAGTGTCACACGAGTAAAGGATAATGCCAGAGTGAAATGGAAGATGTGATGGAGAATAGCTTGAACTACCACTTTTTCAATGTAGGCAAAGTTTAACACATGATCCAGCAAATGAACGAAGAACAATAGCATGGCTTTTGGGGGAAGAAAAGCACTCAATTAGATCACATAATTGTTCATAAACATTTACTGCTGTAACACCATGTTACTACTTTGCTAATTAATTCACTAAGATTGATGAAGATTAAATTGGGATAGTGAGATATTGGAAAATTTTGTTTCCTGATCCTACGCACTCACATTCAGCATGAGCCAAGGCCCTGGTTGTCAATGGTGACGGCCCTGTGATTCAGATGAAAGCTGTTCCACATTAGTAAATTAGATTAAAAACACATTGTTACTTTCAACATTAGGGAAAGCCACATGGTATTACCCAACAAAGCAGAGGATTAGTGAACATAAAATCTTCCTTTGCAAAGCAAGGTGGCACAGATGGAAAGCACTTACACATTAGGACACCAACAGTCATTCTTATCTAAAAAGAAAAGGCAACTTTGAAGAAACAGAGGTATATAATAATTGTTACATATGAAGGAAACCATGGAGCCTGTGTTTCTTAGGGTCTGGCTTACTTCACTTAGCGGAGGTTCACAATAGCTCAATAGCTTTGTACATATGACCATGTAAAATGATGCTAATCAGAATGATCTCCACGATATGCAAACAAGAGGGTTTTTTGGTTGTTTTGGGCTTTGGTGTGTTGTTGTTGTTGTTAATGTACTGTTTGCAGTTATTTCTTTTGTATTTCTTTTATTTTTCTTCTCTGGTTTATTCCCTATGGTACTGTTTTTGATTTTGGAACCTTTCATCTTGCATGCAAGTTTATCTAATTTGGGGAAAAGAAAGGGAATCACAGAAATAGTGGGACAAAGGGTGAACCAGTGGCAACAGCCACACTCACTAGACACTATGTTGGAAATGAACTTTTTAACTTGAGGGGGAGGGGATTTGGAGGAGAAGGAAAGTCGGTGAAAACAAGAGAGGGAGTAACACTTTTCAAAAAGAAATGCACTCGTTACCTTATTTATGTAACTGTAACCCCTCTGTACATCATCTTTATAATAAAATAAAAAAGAGAAATAGGTGTAAGGTGTCAGCCATCAGAAAGACTAGAATGTGAGACAGAAATGAAGTAGAGATGAGAGCTCTGTAGAGGAAGATGAAAAGAAATATAATAAAGTAATAGTCTACTAAAGAAAACAAGAGAAGCAACTGGAAGCTAGATAAACCCCGTGATGGTTGTGAGGGCTGGCGGAAGCCGCAGAGGGAGCGAGAACTGGAGAGCTAATCACTAAGTTGAAAATGAAGAGATGTTATCCCTACACCCATTTTTAATCTTTATTAAGTAAGAGTTGAATTAAAATTTGGTACATTGCTTTTTGGAATACAATTGTGCATGCATGAAATCATACCCTACCTACAAACTGAAGGGACTCATGTAACAGCACACATCAGCCTTTCACTTAGGTTTATTTCGAACCAGAGAAGACTATTTCTATATTCCTGATCACCTTTTGTGACCCACCCCAGAAAGAATAGGTAGACTTTTGGATACTTATAGATAGATAGAATAACCTGATGTCAGTCTATGTTAAGCCCAAAGACATGAGAAGTAGCCTCTGCTTATGATGTGCACAGGACTGCTGTATCTAAGTCTTCTATAAGATTTGAGGCATTAGAACTCAAGAGACCATTTATTCTGGGAAATTAAAGCAGCATCACAGAAATCAGTAAAGAACTTCCTAGGAGGACCTTTGTATCCATATAGGTGGTATACTGAAAAAAATGGTGGATGCAGAGAAGATTGGAAAGATACCGTACGGAATGTACTGGAAAGTAATGATCAGTTTCTATTGAAATCAGCTCAGTGTTTAAATAGTGACTACACCAAACATAAAGTCATTGTGACTTCACTCAGACTCATGGTGGTAGCAACATCAGGAAAGAGATTCACAAGGCTCTTTCATGAGACAGGAGGATTATGAATCAAAAAGGCACCTTTAGATAATCAAGTGAAAGAACCCAATGATTCATTTGGTGGTTGAATAGAGTTAGAGACATCACTATGAACTCGTGCTGAGCTCTCTCTCTCTTTCTCTCTCTCTCTATATATAGTATATACACATACACATATATACATATGCGTATGTATATATACATATATGTATGTATACACATATATGTATGTATTTATACATATATGTATATATAGTATATATATGTGACTATATATATATATATATATATATATATATATATATATATATATATATATATATAAGACTTAAAGCCAAGCACCAATGGCTTAGTCTTGTAATGGTAGCTATTCAGGAGGCTGAGATCTGAGGAGTGTGGTTCAAACCCAGCCTGGGCAGTACAGTCTATGAGATTCTTATCTCTAACTAATTGGTAAAAAGCCAGAAGTGGAGCTGTGGCTCAAGTGTAAGAGTTGCTATCCTTGAGGATAATGCCTCAAGGATAAATCTTGGGCTTCAAGTTAAAGCCCCAAACAGGTGCAAAAAATTATATTAATTACACACACACAAAAGTTCAGATCTCTTTTTTTTGTTGGTAATGGGGCCTGAACTCTGGGCCTGGGCGCTGTCCCTCAGCTCTTCAGCTCAAGACTAACACTTCACCACTTGAGCCACAATGCCACTTTCAGCTTTTTCTGCTTATATGGTGCTAAGGAATCGAACCCAGGGCATCATGCATGCAAGGAAAGCACCTTACCACTGAGCCACCTTCCTAACCCCCAGAAGTGCTTTTTTTTCCACTCTGTCAGTGAAGTGCTCCACTGTCATGAACACATCTGATATTTCTTTGTTTGTAATATCATACTCTAATTCATTTTTATTTTTGGAGAAATTACTGACTCTAGAATTGGGATAGGAAATGAAGATGAACCTAGAGCATCTAGTGGGGGCAAAATGTAAAGACTTGTTATAGATAGATAGATAGATAGATAGATAGATAGATAGATAGATAGATAGAAAGAAAGATAGTTGACATGGGTGATAGGTTATAGATAAATATGTAGAGAGATGATAGATAAATATGTAACTAAATAAATGACAGGTAGATAATCATGAAGATAGATGATAGATTACATACAGATGATAGATAAATATATGCATAGATAAATATGTAGACAGACATAAACAATAGTTCATAACACATACATACTAACATCAATAATGATAGATAGATAAATAGGCAGACAGACAGATGACGGACAGATAGATAACCTCACCGTGATTAAGGCTTGTCCAAGTGATACAGGAGGCAACTGAAAGAGCATCTATCCAGTGGCCAAAAATGAATAAGTAAAATAAATGCTATGGGATTCGGACCCAAAATATAAAATAAAAAAATCACAAGGATATTTTGATAGAAATAATTATATGAAATAAGTAAATGAGGAGTAAGAAGTTAAATGTCAGGTGGAGAATAAATCCAAATACTTTATGGAGAGACATGATCCTCAAAAAGGGTGGCATGGCTCCTCATTGTTTAGATGGACAGAGTGAGCTTTTCCTGAAGCTGACAGCTTTATGGTAAGGAGCCATACCACTGTTTGGCCATCAGTCCTCTGGGTCAGTAGATGAGGCTGGTGATACAGCTTGTGCTTGAGCAGTTCATTCACCACAAGTTGTCGTTTTCATCCAGTTGAGCCTCTTTGTGAGAGTGCTTGCTTTCTCTAGTTCTCCATCCCAGTGTATTCCTGCTTTGGCCACAGCTCCAGCTTTCCTACCCACTCACCTCAACATGTTAACTCACTGAATTGATAATGACACTTTACCATTAAAAAAATGTTCAGAAAAATCTTGGCAGACATTGAGACAGAACAACAGACTCAATTAACCCTGTTTATATAGGCAATCCTCCAGTTCTGAAAGACTCTTTTCATCTAAGGGTAGATAAATAAAACTCATCACAAGAGCTTTTGAAAACACATTGCCCCATAAAAATTAAAACAAAGATACATAGAATGATTATAAATTTAGACAGGATTAATCTCAAGAAACACCATTTAAAAAAGCAAATCTGGGGCTGGGAAGGTGACTCAGTGGTAGAGTGCTTGCCTTGCATGCATGAGGCTCTGGGTTCAATTCCTCAGCACCATATAAGCAGAAAAAGCTGGAAGCGGTGCTGTGGCTCAAGTGGTAGAGGGCTAGCCTTGAGCAGAAGAGCTGAAGGACAGCACCCAGGCCAAGTTCAGACCCTACAACCAACAACAAAAAAAAGGTAATCTGCTTTGTGTTTCCAAGTAGAGGTAAGTGACATGATTTCAGGATGCAATTAGTAAGTGACCAGATGATGATTATTTACAATAGAAAAAATTGAAATATTCTCTAAAGAAGATAGAAATATAGAGAAATAAAAAAATCATAAGAAAATAATATGAAGGGAAGAGTAATAGAGAATGTGCATTGGGAATACATTTTACATGACTAGAAATGTCACAATAAAGTTTCTTTAGCACAACCAATGGATGTTAACAAAAATCATAAAAATATAGACCAAAGGCGAAAAACCATGCTCTGTGGCAAAAATAAACTTTTAGGAATTAATAGGTACAGTGCTTGTACCAACAGCACATATACTAAAAGTGGAACAATGCAGAGAAGATTTGCATGGCTCCTAAACAAGAATGACATGGAACTTCTTGGAGCATTCATAGACTATGTAAAAAAATGACCTATGCAACTTGTGGGTAGGGATGGGAGGGAAAATCAGAGGAAAGTGAAGGAAGGGGTGATAGTGTGCAAGAAGCATTGTAATTATAACCTGACTTTTGAAACTATAACCCTTTTGTACAATTCCTTAAAATAACAATAAAAATAAAGCAAAGAAAAGGAATTAAGATGTATATAATATAGGAAATAGATTGGAAACCTTTCAGATGCATGAAAAAATGACAAACATTTCTTAAAAGTCAGAAGAAAGATGCTGGAGGTCAAAGGTAAAGAAAGTTGATGATTCTGAAGAAAATATAGAGATCATTTATATTTCAAATGGCTGGTTCTTGGAAAAGGAAGAGAAAATTCCAAAGTCAGTGTCTACAAGGTTGATATAATGTTGATATAAAACGATTGGAAAAAAAACGATTAGATTACATTCTTAAAGGACTTTGCAGGTCACTTTCGCCTATAAATACTAAAAATTACAGAATTTATTAATGAAAAGAATCCATACTGTAAGAGGGGTGAGGCAGCACTTGCTTGTCATCATAGCTGTCCAAGCTGACCCCCAAAAAGAGACTGTATCTCAAAGAAGATAGAGCAATGCAGGTACTAGCGGCTCATGCCTATAATCATAGCTACTCAGAAAGCTGAGATCCATGGGATAGCAGAGCAGATCTGGAAGGCAGAATAGTTTGTGAGACCTCATCTACAAATTGACAAACAAAAAGCTAGGTTGGATTTTTGTCTCAAATGATATAGCACCAGCTGAGCAAGCAAGCCTTGAGTTCAAAACCAAGTAATAACAAAAAATGGTAAATAAATAAAAATAACCAAAGAGGACTGAAGGCATGCTTCCAGAGATAGAGTGCCTGTCCAGCATGCATAAAGTCCTGAGTTCAAACCCCAGTACTACAGAATTGATAGCAACTCAGAAGCAATGAGCACCTTCATGGAATCAGATTGTACTTTCTTTTTTTTTTTCTTTTTTCTTTTTCTTTCTTTTTTTTTTTTTTTTTTTTTGTCAGTTGTGGATCTTGAACTCTGGGCTTGGGCACTGTGCCTGAGCTCTTCAGCTCAAGGCGAGTGCTCTACCACTTGAGCCATAGTGCCACTCCCAGTTTTCTGAGGCTAATTGGAGATAAGAGTTTCATGGACTTTCCTGCCTGGGCTGGCTTTGAACCACAATCCTCAGATCTGAGCCTTCTGAGTAGCTAGGATTACATGTGTGAGCCACTGGCTCAGATTGTATTTTCTACCAATTCTCACGACATAAAAAAAAAAAATCAAAGCTTGCTCTACAAATCACTGAGTCCAGGTCTAATAAAGGAATGTTCAAGATGAGCCATCCCCATTACTCACAGGAGTTGATAAAAAGGAGTTTGTGATATTAGCAAAGTGAATTCAGTCTCATATCAATAAAATGATTGCACTAATTTGGGTTTGTTTCTGAAAATCCCCAAAGGTTCAACTATGATGAAAACAATAAATGCAATCGATATAATCTACCACATAAGCAGAACTGAGGGGGGAAAACATATAGTCATCTTAATTGCCACAGAAAAAACAGTTGACAAATTTTTATATAGTCTCATGAAAAAAAAATCACTCAACAAAGTGGACACAAGAAACTTCTTCAACATCATAAAGGCTATTTATGAAAAAAATGTTAACATCACATTCAATAGTGAAATAACTAAAAATGTTCATCCAAATTCCAAAAGTAGACCAATTGGCTTTTGCCACTCTTGCTCAAAATAGTGGTGGAAATTAAAGCCAGAAAAGCTCAGCAAGAAGAGAAACAAAAGACATCTAAATCAGAATAGAAGGAGTAAAATTACCTTTTTGATAGATGACATTGTTAACTAGGACAAAATCCCAATGGTTTAAAAATGTTAGAACTAAATATTTAGTTCAGAAAGTAGCAGGATTAAAAAAACAGCACACAAAATACAACAGTGTGTGAAAAAGAATATTTAGAAAATTCTTTTCAGTGTATGTGAAAAAGAATATTTAGAAAAAAGTTCATTTAAGTGAGATCAAAAGAATAAAATACTTGCAAGTCTTTAAGCTAAATCTACCTGCAAGGGAGATCTCAAATAGTGTAATTCCTTAAAAAGGCAAAATCAAAGTTCAGCAAAAATAAAAAATAAAGCACCAGGAAGCAGGTACTCCAAAGAAGCAGGGTGAGGTCAAAGAGAAAGGGTGGGTGAATAAAGAGGAAAAGACAGGGAGAATGCAGTCAAGATTCCAATGTATATCCTACAACATTAAGAAGAATGAGGTAAGGGGTGGAGAGGGGAGGGAGGAGTAAGAATGTTGAAAGGGGGTGACACTGATCAAGATATATTGTATTCATAAACTGCTTTGTTACATGGATAGTGCTTTTTACAACTGCTTAAAGATAATAATAAAAAGAACAAAAAGAAAAAAGAGGAATATAGTATAAAATACAAAGAAATTAATTTGACCAAAGAGACAAAAATAATTTTACCACGAAAACTATAAAAAAATTGCTGAAAGAAATCAAAGACATAAATGAATGGGGAGTCCGGCTGTATTCATGGATTGGAAGACATAATATTACTCAGAGGTACATAATACACAATGGGGTCTACAGATTCAATGCATTTGCTACTAATATCCCCCAAATAATAAGATTTCAGAAATAAAAAAAAATCTATTCTAAATTCCAGAATCCAATTCTAGGAGTTAAAAAATATGAATCCTAGGTATGGAGTCTCAAGGCATCTCAAATAACATACAGGATCTTAGAGGAAAGAAGATGAATTTTGGTTTCAAAGTTTGCAAAGCTACAGTCGCCAAAACAGTATGTTATTAACACAAAAATAGAGATCCAGGTTAATGGAATGAGAAGAGATCCTAAAAATGAGCCCTTGCTTTCATGGCAAAGTGATTCTTAAATTACATTGCCATAAGCAAGACACAGATGGCTTTGCATTGGATTCTGGAAACACTGGTGGTTAGCACCAAAGTACTTTTCTTACAGTAACATTGCGTAGTATGTTAGAATATAGCTATTGACCAAGCATTACAGCTTCAAAGACCCGAAGGTATAACTTCATTGTACACCTTGACTGTGCCTTATTTCATTTCTTTTTTGGCCAATTGTGTAATTGGAGAGAATAAAAAAATAAGAGACTAAAAATGAGGAAGACAAGCCTGTAGTTCATGTTATGGCAGATAAAGTGGAGTGTATCTCAGAGATCATAAAGTGATCCTTAAAATAGTTTTCTCCTCATAAAGCAATAAAAGGATGTGACCAGATATTACATCTTTATTTTTCTCTATAAAGGCGTGTAGGATCCGTTGCACACAGGTGAAAGCATCAAGGTCATTTCATGATCCTTGAACACATACTGACAGTACCTTTGACACTTGCTCAAACAAATCAAATGTATGGGGATTGATATGAGGCCATCACCAGAATAGGAGAAACCACTAAAAACATTGGTCCCGATCACAATGATCTGGACTTATATAAAAACGCCAGGACATAACATGTGTGATGATGTAAACAAGGTTAATGAATAAAAAGCAAATGTTTGGAACATTCTGTACGTATTTACTCTGCACCTTAGAACAGGAAAGAGGGACTGTATCAGGGAAATTTCTAGGCCACCTAAATGAATATTTCTCACCATGTCACATGTTCCTTAACCATTGCTTTCCTTCCTTAAAGACTGGTGTGAATCTAGTGAATTGCCACAGGAGCAGAAAACCTTAAATAACCAGATGAAGAAGTTGTCCACATGTCGACTTAATTTTTCTTCTTTGTTTTATTAGCACCAGTAAGTCATTGAAGAAAGCTTCATTTTAACATGTCCATTTATGTATAAATGCATCTTATTCATAGTTTCCATCTCTATTATTTCCCTCTGCTCCCCTTCCCCATCCAAACCAATCCCATTTCCTTGCTCCATTTTTACACATGTATATAGATTATTATGAGTATATTTGTTCCCCTTTCCTCTCTGTTCATTGTCCCCTCCCACTAGTATTCATACCCTATTTTTGTAAAATGCATGTTGTTTAAAGACATCTCACTATGGTATATTGCACATGCACATACTATACTTTAGGCAGACTAATCACGAATATATATGCACACATATGAAACACATTATACATATATCAGATTATTTAATTCTGGGTGGGATTTTAAAAGTAAGTTTACAATTGAAGTTTAGATTGTCATTTTTTAGTAAAAGATTTACTTTTCTTAAGAATTTAGTTACCTAATTGCACAATAAAATACACTGAATAGGGTTATAACTATCCTTTAATTAACTATGCTAATTATGAAGATCCATCTTCATAATGCCTTTGCTCTAAGATGGTTTCTATAAAATCAGACATATCATTTTTAGTCAGACCCCCTACAAAGATTATATACATTGACATCTGGTAATTTATAATGCCTTGAATATTTATAACTAACTAGATGAAAACTTGAAAGAAATAAAGTCATTGTGTGGTTGTTCATTATTGTTTACACAAACATTTATCATTATTTGTAACCCAGTCTTAGTGATAATTTAGTAATCATCTTTCTTATTTCTTGATAACTGCTATAGACTTCCAAAGAGATCACCAAGAAAACCTACTGATCAAGAAAAGCCGTTTGTCAGAGTTACTAGGTAAAAAAAGAGCATCACCTAGACAGATTATTGTAGGCAAACACAGATAATAGATGACAGTGAAGATTGATAGATGATAGATAGATAGATGCATGCATGCATGCATACATACATACATGCATACATAAATTATCTCATATGAGAAGTAGAAAGAATGATTTGGAGGGTAGGGTGGTTGATTTTGATTGTCAATTTGATCCAATTGAGATGCATATAGATCAGTGGAGACAAGGCCAAGTCAGAGAAAGGAGGTGAGTGGGGTATATTCTTCAGACTATACCTTGTCCTAGCCTCTTTCTTTATTTCCTCTCTTCTTCCTGTCTGCCAAAAGGTGAACAACCTC